GGCTCTTTGATACAAAACACGAAACATTCATTATCTTTTGAAATGTGCCAGTCTGCCCGTCTCAATATCTTTGACAAAGACAGTCAAAACTGACTCAAATCCAAACACTGCCTGCTGCATAGTCAGGATTGTATTTCCTTGCCCTTACAGCTTAAGGTTTAACTCATTCAAAAATGACCAGTAATGTTGACAAGATAGTAAAACTTGAGCAAATAATCTCAGTCTGAAAGCTTGGGGTGTTTCACACCCTTCATATGCAAAAGTGACTTAATCTCATTAATGCAAGCAGCAAAATGAGACAGAACTTTACCGTGAGATAACCAGCGAACATTGCTATGCACTAGATGGGGGTATTCGGAATATATTTCCTCGACCAGTGACTGAAATTGACAGGGATTAAGGGCTCAGGCAAGAATCCAGTTGACAATGAGAATTACCAGTCCCATTATATTTCTGAGTTTAGTTCCACAAGATTGCACACAAAGTGCCTCCTGATGTTCAATGCAATAAAAGTTCAAAAGCGGGCTGTTCAGCTGTTCTGACAAAAGAGTAAGGAATCTCCTGTATTTGCTGACCATGCTAGGTGAACCGTCCATACATACATACACACAGAAGATTATCTAATGGTATTTCTTTCTTATTTATAAAATCCATCACAGTCTTAAGGATTTCCTTGCCTTTTGTTTGAGTTTTCATTGGTAATATCATAATCATTTGTTCATGCACAGCACTTCCACAAATATGACATTCCAGGATACACAACTGATTAACGTCACATATGTCTGTTGTCTCATCCAAAGCAAACAAAAATAAGTATATGTATTTAGGGTTGCCAGATGGTTTAACAAAAAATACCGAACCTTCCCCCCCCCCCCAAAAAAAGGTGGAGACCAAAGTTGTAAAACAAACAAAAAAGAAAAAGCAAAAAAAGCCCCCCAGAACAGAATTGTTGAGCAGCTTAAAGGTTGCCCCTTTAAGACAGCTGCCATCTTGGGCACCATTTTTAAAACCCCACAGCTCCAATCCAGTAAGCATAGGGAAGCCGAGGGCTGGGGGCAAGCCGGCAGGGGCCATTTGGTGGGGGGCACAGGAGCAGCTTTGCGAATCGCACTTTTGGGGGGCAAGAGCAGCATGCGGCTTGCGATCCATGGGTTGGCCACGGCTGGTATTGAAGGGGACATCACGTGGCCAGCTCCCGTGTATCTGCTGGTCACGTGGGCCAGAGCAGCTTGTGCTCTGTTCCCACCCCAATCCGGCACTCCCCTAGCATGGTGCCCGGCAAGTACCCCCTCCTGCCCCCCTTCACTATGACTCTGCTACGCTCCTCACTCCCCCGCTCCCACGAGACGCGGCAGGGGAAAACTGTCTCCACCGGGCTTCCATCCAAAGCAAACAGGAAATACTGGACATTTCACCTATCCAGTATTTCCTGTTTTTTTTTTCCCTTTTAAACGGGACAGAGCCCGCAAATACCAGACTGTCCAGGTGAATAATGGACAGCTGGAAACCCTAGCTGTATTCAGTTTTTGCATTTGTTCCTTGTTGATTTGATGGGCTATTTTCACAACTCTGTCATGAACTGTTTTTGGCAATAATGGCATGTCTTGAATTTTCTGTAAGATTTTGCCCTTGTTGCAAAACTCAAATAGTTCATAACCAATTTTTAGCATTCATCTCTTCACATAATGCCCATCAGTGAAAGGCTCCCCCTATTGAATAATGCTGTCTGAGCCCACAAAACTTCTAGAGTTTAAGCTCCCGCTTTTTTTTTTTTACCATGCCAGCAGGCTATTTTGTCCAATGTTCATTTTTCTCTGCAGCTCCTCGCAGACTTTTTTCCATGCATCACTCGCAGAATATTTTGTAGCATAGCTGCATGTTTGTCAGGTCTTCAAGACACAGTCTGGAATAAGCCTCAAAAGTTCTGCTGTATCCTATCCCAAGAGTGTCCTGGAAAGCAGGCCTTGACAAACCAGGGAGTGGCCTGTAAGTTCAGGGTTTAATTCCCAACCAGAGGCAGGGATCGAACAAATAGATGGGATTTGATAAGGTGCAGTACAGCCTGTTTAAAGTCAGCACCTTGCTGTCTCTCGGGATGGACTGTTAACCCCAGACCCATGCACCATTTACCTATTCAAAATAAGGCTAACATTATATATGGCTCTTGTGCTCACCCACTACACAGGGATGAATTTCAGCTTCAGGAGCTTGTGCTCACCAGAAACCAGGCCAGGGAGCTGTATAGGAACCTGAGAGTTGTCCTGTTTGGTTTGCACTTTGTGCTTTGTTTTTATCAATATGTATTTGTTGCATGTGTTCACTGCTTATAAGAATGCATGGAAGGAAATGGAGAGACTTTTGTTCAGGTGGGAGAAGTGTGAATTAAAACAAAACACCAATAATAAAACCTAAAATTATTTACACAACATATGTACATCTTACCATCACCATCCTACTAAAACAAAACACTCCACTGCATGTACCTGTCTCCCCCTGGAGAGAGGATGCAAGAGAATGAGCAACATATAACAGATGTTAGTCATGTCACCTAATAACACTACTGCAAGGTAGCTGGGTACAAAGCGACAAGGATGGTATAAGGTAATTTATGCAGAATGGAACAGAGTATTGAATAGTGTGTGTGCCAGAAACAAAGTAAGTTTCTATGTTTATTGTAAATGAACTACTATAACCTGTACATCTCTAATTACAAACTATAGAAATGATCCCTGTGTGACATGGTGCAGTACAGAAGAACCCCTGGGGCTGCCTCCCGAAGTGCTGACAAGGCTACTGCCACTCACCTTCCTGCTCCCTGAAGTTTCTCACTGCTCTAACCTGTTGGGCCAGCTCCCCAACCCAGGCACCAAGCTGAGATTACTGCCCGCCCCCACCCCCACCACCTCCAAGAAGCAGTACAGACACAAACTCTTCCGGTCCAAGGAGAATGCAGTTTTCGGCCCAGCTTCCTGGGATACCGCTCCCCAAATGGGATCAGAATCTCAAAGGAATTACTGAGGTAAGCCCCCTTTGACACTGAAAGGGGGAACGTACACACTGGTTGCTCCCAACAGTTATTTACACTGGGCTTGATAGTAAATAAAAGTGATTTTATTAAGTACAAGCAATAGGATTTAAGTGGTAATAAGTGAGAAGAGGCAGAGCAAAGTAGATTATAAACTTAAACTAGCACAAAATGCTCAGCTAATTTAACACTAAAACCTCAGTACAAGCTCTTGACAAACTCACCCTAAAATGGTTCCTTTTCCAGCTAATTCCTCAAACCAGGGCAGTTCCTCACTCTGGGGTCTTTGGATCCCTTTCTTGGGAGTGCCTCAGCCAAAGACAAGGACCTTCTAGTTTCTGACTGTTTTAAAGGTTCCCAGTTTTGCATGGGAAGTCACCTGGCTAGTCCCTACCAGTTAGTGAGGTCATGTGACTTCCTAAGACCAATCACACCTCAGACTTAAGGACAAAAGGTTATCTGCATATGACTGGCCAGACATTCAGGCATCCCAGTATTGGAAACACCCTTGATGGCTTTCTTTGGCACATTATAAACCATAAAACATTCCATACTCCATACGTCTAATGTATACAAGAATGATACATAAACCAAAATAAGATAAACAGATCCAGCAGATTATGACATGAAGATTGATAGGTTACATGAGACAATTTGTCCAAAGCACCTTTGAGTTAGGCATGTCTGTGTCCACAAGTCCATTTTCTAAAGCATGGGGGGAGAGGGGGGAAGAGGGGTTCAATCACACCCTGAAAGTATAGTCAGTATGTTGATCATTTTTCTATCTAGTGGAGTGGTTTGTTATTTCTATGTGTGCTGACTTATAGTAAGAGTTTGACCAAGCGAAAAGGAATGAAAAAATCCACTTGAAAGACATTTCACAAATGACCAAATATCTGACAGCAACAAAGCTGCAGTTCTGAGCTGAAGGACTGGGATTCCTTCCCTCAGATGTATCAAAATTATGTCATCTGACAATTCTGCATTTAAAACTGAAATATGTAAAAAATGCACTGTTAAATAATTAACCCTAAGTCATAGATTAATTTATGATGCAAAAGTACACACAAAGCTTTGTTCAGTACAGTTTTCATAGTTATCAATGGTATTTTTAAATTAATTGGTACTGCTGGAAAAAGATAACAATAGTATAAGCCACCTTATATAATGGCAAATAATGTATATTTCCTTCAGTCCCTGCAAGAATCCACAGTCTGCAAGCTCCTTCCATTTGTCTAGAGCTTCTGCCTAAGGCAAGGACAGATGTTCTACATACTTGCATATGCCATCCAGCTATGCTATAACCATATGTTAGATTTTCAAATTTATCTGTCCAGCTAATAGTCTTCCCTCCCCTCTTAAAACTACTATTATAAATCTTAGCATTGATCTGGCCCAGTGTTAGGCACACTTCTTCTGATCACAGGCCACCCACATGCAGGTTTTGTTTATGTGCAAGCAAGGATGATGATTTTGGTGTGCGCAGCTGGATTATTCCAGGAAGTGATAAGAAGGTAGAGTGAAGCTTTTCACCCTTAAATAAATATGGCCAAGATTTGTAGTAGACCTGCCATCTAGCAACTATACAATTACCTAAATGCATATATTCAATCCAGCTACTACTAGACAAGGCCCTGCATCAGACTTAATTCCCGTTAGCAGTGTTGGTTGAGAGCCTAGGCAGTGACTGTAAAGATATATCCTGCCAGGTAAAGGGTGAGACACAGTGACAGGGCAATATGGGAAAACTTTCACCATCATTGTCCATGCTATATGTTTGGTGGAGAATTAGAGGTCTTCAGTTATCAATCAAGTCAGCAGCTATTTCACTTACACAAAAAACGGTGAAGGGAAAAAACAAATATGATAGTATTTTGCTTTAAAGCTACAGAAAACAAGATGTTCAAAATTACTTGCCAGTGAGCATCTCTAATACAAACTTTAATACTACATGACAAATGATAATACCCTGTACCTTTTTCTGCTCCATTTCTGTCTTGCTTTTCAAGTAGGAGGTAGTGAGGACTCTCAGGAAGGAAGGGTAAAATCCCAGCTTGGACCAGTGAAGGAACAACAATTACTCCAAATAAGTAGGGCCAGAGAGATTCCTACAAACAGAGGCAAACAAAACATGAATAAGATGTCCCTTTAATGAAGCCAAGATAAAAAATAATGCTGAGGGAGCAAGCTGTGCCTTTTGAGATAACTTTATAAAGTGGGCATTGTAATATTTATTCCATTTCAGTTTAGCCAGTGATTTGAGCATAGGGTTGCCAGATGGTTTAACAAAACATACCAAACATCCCTCTCCCCCACAAAAAACCCACCAGGAAAAAGTTCTGTAGAGGAAAAAAAAGCAGGGTGGGGGAGAAAAAGGGAGGGAGGAGATGACCAAAGTTGTTAAGGGGGGGAAAAAAGGCACTATGCCTTTAAATGGCCCGTACTCCTCATTCTCCCGCCCTTGCCAGATGCGGCAGGGGAAAATTATCCTGCCGGGCATCTGTCAGAGGGAAACAGGAAATACTGGACATTTCACATGTCTGGTATTTTCTGGGTTTTTTTTTAACCAGACGGGGAACCCAAATAACAGACAGTCTGGGTGAAAACCGGACACCTGACAACCCTATTTGAATTCAGTCTCTGTGTGCAGGGAGATAGGGGAGTGAGGAGAGGAAAAGTTAATATAAAACAAAAAAAATCAACTGAGCATAAGGTTGCCAGATGGTTTCAACAAAAATACCGGACACACTTGACATTACATCACAATCTACATTACATCTTATTTAGAAAATACCAGACATTTATATTTTCTCAATTTGTTTCCTGAACAGAAAGCTCAAATACTGGATTGTCCAGTTCAAAACCGGACACCTGGAAACACTAACTGAGCACAAGTGAAAAAAAGAGTGGGGAGGGAAGCTGAGAGGGGGGTTGGGATTGGTCAAATGTATCACATGGTTTTGTTTTCCTTTAATATTACAAACTACCAAGTGACTCAATATTAACAGAGTCAAAACAGTTGCAATAAAACCTAATCACCAGATCACTGGTCAGCTTTAGGAAGCAGTACAGTGTTACATGGGAGATATAGTTATAGATGGCTGCTCATGGCATCTTCGTTGTATCTACTTGTTCAAAAATCATTCAGACTGGCTATATCACATTCAATACCCCCAAAAATGATAAAAAAAACTCCAATGCTTTGGAAACATTCTACTTCTCCAAATGTATTTTCTTTATTTCTAGTCATCAGAGCACAGCACTCAGAACAGGGAACTTTGGATTTGAATTTAGACACTGGACTCAATCATAATCTACGCACCATATGTAAAATCAAGATAATACTGTAGCAAATTGGTAGGTGACCAACATTTCATGGTTACCACTTTGCTGTATGCTGATACCATTCCAAACTTCACTGGCTTTATGAGTGTACCTTAGTTCCTCCTTCCTCAAAACATTAACATTCGCAGTGACATCAATGGGGTCCAGAAGTCATCCTAAACCTCTCTTAGCTAAAGGAAATTTTGCCCTATCCGTATTGACTGTCCATATATATTTGAGCAGTTCTAATGCAATCCAGTAGAGGGCACAAAAACACAATTCATCATAATCCTTATCCTTGGTTTACCTTGGAGTCGAGATCTGGCTATGTGCTATAAATATTTATTTATTATTATCTATCTTAACACAAGAGCACAGCACTAACTAAGACAGCATATTTTTGCATTATTAAAACAGAAATACATACTATTATTTAATATTGTAGATTTTTTTGCATTCAGAAAACATTCTTTTCTAAAAGAAATGGTTTAAAGAGTAGAAGTACAGGGTCACTATTCAATCTCTCTGAGCTAAAATTGTTAAAGGGAAAAAGAAGCCATCAATAAAACAGCATTCCTCTCTACAACTCAGTAAAGCTTGTTTTGATTTTCTCAATCATTTCCTAATTCTCCATTTAAAATACAGTAAAATGTGTAAGGGATTACATTTTCTTTTTGTCTTTTTTTGTAAAAAGGAGAAAAAAACAGAGCAGCATATTAATTGAAAACCTTTTAATCTAACCTGCACTTCCAAGTTTATTTATAACTCACTGGCAGAGTGAATAAGAAATCTGCCTTAATTTAACATTATGATTTTATTACAACATTTAAACAGCATTATGCATGCATGACATTCACCAAGAGTTAGAAAAATGCTCACATGCTACTTTAAACTTGGACTATCCCTAGTAATAAGGCTCATAATTTCATACTGTATTACATAAGCCATTATGAACTGACAGTCTATGACTATTAAACATTGCAGCTATTAAAATATATTTGTTACAGGCAGGTACACTATTTTAAAGGCATTTTACTGTAGTTTCAATGAAATTCTTTAAAGATTACTTTAAAGAATAAAATAGGAATATCATCACATAAAATGGAAGATTTCTTCATTACATTGCACTTGAAGAAATAAACCAACAGAACATGAATAAACATGTTTTCCTTTCAACACCAGTCTGATTATTTGTTTAGAACTTATATGACACTCATCACTATCTGAGCTATCAATGAAAATCTCATTGCACAGGAAATCACTGAAGTCAGGACCGTAGTAAGATTAAAAAAGGGATTAGATGTTTATATGGATAAGGAGAGTATTCAGAGGTATCATCACTAATGTTAATAAATACTTTGGAAGGATTATTAAAATTGCACATGTCAGGGATTAAGGTAATCTTTAACTATTAGAAACCAGGCTGAGACTATGTGGAGAGCAGATTACCCACATATGCTATCAAGGCTGTTCCCCACCCTGGCACGATGAATGCAGAAGTTGGGAACCTGCAAGAGCACTCCAAAACCTTGCTTCTACAGGTTCAGATACAAAAACTTCCCCCCACAAAATCCTAATACCTAGATTTTGGGGATCCGCTGCCATCAAGTGTTTTTGAACCCCAAAATAACCCTGGGGTACCACAAGCTCTTTTCCCCAAAAGAGCTTGTAAAATAAAAGAAAAAAAACAAGCTGCAGTGTCTGGTAGCTGATCCCTCAGTCAGAGGCATGTAGATATACACAGATGGGCCTTTCAGGACACAAAAAAATCAACCAATACTGGTTAATTAGAAAAAAGAAACTATCTTTTATTATCAAAACAAAACTACAGTTGCAAGCATAGTAAATTGGCTAGATGGAAAGAGCCACCCATTGCTATAGATACTCAGGGAAGGCCCCTGGGCTGAAGGCTTAGTTACAAAAGAGAAAAAAAAAACAATTAGCAAGCTCAAACATTATTTCCAAACCCCCAAACAAGGAAAACAATAAACCCTGATGGGCTATCTAAAACTTTTCCCTACTTACACATTTTAAGAAGTCTGTTCCTAGAGAGAGAAGCATCTCCCATCTCTCTTAATGCCTGGGAGAAACTGCTCAATCTCAAACAAAGAAGAGAGAGAGAGAGAGAAACCCTTCTTTTCCTGTTTGAATTTCCTACCTGCATTGTGATTGGCTGACTCCCCAACACCTTGGCTAGGTACATCAGCTAACCCCTTAGTCACCAGGTGCTGGTCAGTATTCCTGATTATAACATACACCTATTGCATAGTTCCTATACCTTCTTCTGAAGCATCTGGTGCTGGCCATTGTCAGAGAGAAGATATTGGACCAGGTGGATCTCAGGACTGATCCAGTCTGGCAATTTTTAGATGTTTATTTGTGGACCAATGCAATGGCAGAATTGTCTAAATTCATGTGAGGAAACAAAGTGATGATTGGTAATAATGGAGTGAAATTTAGCAAAAGACTATGTAAGATGCCTATTGGGGAACAGAAAATCCTAAGAATGAAGTCTATCAGATTGTAATAGTGTCACAAGAGAGATGTCCCACTAGGCAAGGCATTTGAGGGAACAATCTGCACAGAGACTGCTCTATGAAGGAATCCTATATTGGCAAGGAGCTAGATAGGGATGTGAAGGCTATCAAGGCCATCTTAATCTCTATTAAGATAATCAAGGATTTATACCATTGTCCATAACATTTCCTAGATGTATAATTTTAAAAGAAAATGAAACCCTTGCATACCAAACTCAAGTCTTCTTAGTTCAATATTAGATTTTGTCTACTAAGACAGATATATAAAGGTGTGTCTACACTACACTGTTACTTCGAGGTAACTAGCATTATTTTGAAATAATGTGGGCATCTACACAGCAATTCCGTTATTTTGAAATGAATTCAAAATAACAGGTGCCTTATTCTGACTTCTGTAAACATCACTGCACAAGGAATAAGCTATTTCAGAATAGGCCTATTTCAAAATAAGGCACGTGCAGATGCTCCACTGCTGCTATTTTGAAATAGCCCCTCACTATGGCCATTCTAAGTTATTCCTCCCCAGTGCCTCCTGGGGTTTGTCAACTCAGAGGGCCATGGCCAAACAGGATTATTGATTCACTTCACAACAGAGTCAATTAGGGATAGTTGATTTTATTAATCTCACTACATCACTACTATTACAGGGTTAATACCGCCAAATGGTTACACAGCTACTGCAAAGTGACATCAATAAGCACAGGCAGAACAATGCATAAGAGGGTAACAGGCACTTAGAAATGCACATGCCCCCTCAAGTCTGCAGGGAGTCCCATTTCTGTCACCTTGCACCAGGCTATAGTGGACGTGGTTCCAGCTGGGGGAATCTACGGCACCCTTTGAGGTCCCTACACTAGTTATACTACAGTTGTTTACCCGGTGTGCATATACTGGCTCAACACCATTCTTATCATTCTTATGTTTACTGCTTAGTAGTTTCCCAGCTCAAATGCATGGGTTAAAGCTAAGAAGGGCCAGCTGCTTTTTGCGCTTGCAGGGTTTCAGGCGATGTACTTCAAGGATGGAAACTTCCATCCCAGGCCTGATGAGCTGCAGGAGTCATATATGACTTTTTATGTGACAGGGTTCTAAATCAAGATAGCATGTCTACATTAGGGAAGCCTGCCTCAGACTAATTTTGAGGCTTCCCTGCAGTGTAGGTATGCTATTTCAAAATTAGCTATTTTGGAAAAACTATTCCAGAATAGCTTATTTCGAAATAACTGTGCAGTGTAGACATACCCAAA